TGGCACTGGTAACTAGGCAGATGAAAGCTTAGCAGATTTATAAATCGGTCTTAACACATGCCTGAGCAACAACCGTTTACTTTCAAATGATCTTGCCGGACGTTTAGATTTATCTTAAAAAATATATTATTCCACACAGGTTGTGTATGCTTTCAGTAAAAATGTGTTTATCTCTTGCCTTTGTTGTCATTGGAACTTGCAGTGACATTCACATGTTGTTGGTTTTCCTGATGCCATGTAGCCCAGCTGTCAATACCTATTGCAATTTCTCAAATGAATTGTTATGAAAAGCTAATTGAAAAGTTCGGAAGGCTTTAATCCATACAATAATCAGTTATTGGGCCAAAATTAGTTAATTATAAGTAATAAGTTAACCTTAAAACATGTTTTAATTTGCTAATATCCAAATATGAACTTATCTCTTTATTCCAGCATCCCTTGAATCTCAACACAGCTTCAGTCAGGAGTTTTTATTTTCGCCACAAATAAAAACGTCTTTTTCACATCTAACACAATGAATCTCTTTGCATTATCCCAAGTCTATTTCCAACTGGTTAATTAGAGCCCTGTGATGACTCCTTCCTCAAAACTCTGTCTGCTGAGCGGAGCACTGTTCTAACTCAGTCATGAGAAACACCGGCAACTAGAACCAGATTTTTTTTTTCCATGCCTACAAACCCTGATCAGTTTGTTGTGATTTTGCTGGAATAAACGTTTCTGTTTTTATACGTTTGTAGTTTTGACAGCATACATGTCACACCATTCCTTAGATTTTTGAGTTGTACAATATTTTCCTTCATGTCATCAAATTTCAAACCCAAAGAGAGAAACCAACCCAACATCCAATCAACTGAGCCAGGAAACAAAGTACCACTTATCGTCTCTGACTGACCTGTGAGAGACCGAGATGGCAGAAATGCGAGTCAGACTCACACTGGCACGTCCTTTTGCCGTTCAGTCATGGCCGATCTGATGTTGAAACTGATGGATCAAAGATGCTTTTTAAACCTCTAATTTATTTTTATGTTTGTTAGATCTCAAAATTTGCCTTCAGATCCTTTTTTTTAATTATTTCCTGAGATGAAACTTTACACTTCAATTGGCGTCGAAAAATTTTTAAACATTAAAGTTTGTTTTTAGAAAAATTTACCTTATATTTGAAATATTAGGTTGTAGAGTGTTGGCATATTTGCTTTTATAAATTTGCTTTGATCTTTCTTTTTACTCGATTAAATAATTAAGAATCTTGTTTACGCTTACAGTTTTTTCTCAGCTGAAGTGTATTTTCTTTGAATTTTTCTTGCTTCTTTAAATGCGTGATGGCATTCCTTCATTTGCAATGAAAGAATTCATCCTTCAGACATGAAGGATGAATTCATGTCTGAAGCCTCATTATCTATCATTCATAGATAATGAGGCTGATTGTGAGACTGATTTATTGGTGTAAATGATCAAGCCCCTACCTCAATAACTACTTCCAATTTATGAAACCTTAATGAGCATGTTGGCGTTAAGAGTCCAGGCTTTGCGCTTCGTTTTATTTCTGTCCGGAGAAGATGACCCACTTCCCACTGTGGATTCTTTTTTGAAAAGCACCACTCTGCTAGAAGCCAGAGCTCGTCCGCGCTCATTACTAATAACAGAGCCTTAAAATGAGCCATGCTTTCCATTTGAACTCTCCAGTTCTGATGGAATCCTTATTGCGTGTGTCTCATGGAGGAAAACGGTTTGAATGCGTAAAAGGGCATTTGGGCTATAAAAACCAACATGGCTCTCTGCGAGCTTCTCAATCAGTGCTTAACCTTAAAACTAACAACTTAATTAGTCAAACGTCTCCCGCGTCCAACACCTCACTCTTTCATCTGACCCGTGAAGCAAACGCGATAACGCGTCGGCGCTTCCAGCGAGCCGAGCCAGCTAACTTCCTGTTAGCCTGCACAGGGTGAAAAGCCACTGAAACCATTTGCATCCTGAAGCCGACAGCCACACACTACAAACTCTTCAACCTTCCTCTTTCCCTTCCCTTCAACGCTTTGTTCGTATCACTGACTCCACGCACTGTAGTGACCTCCTCTGACAGCTCGCTGAGCACTTCCCATCAGACTGTTTAGTGACTCATTGGTGACATTTGGCGTTGGAGTGTGTGAGCGCGCCTACGTTTGTTTTTGCAGCTTGTTTCTGCCTTTTTTTTTTTTTTTTCTTCTGTGAATCATTGTCGTGCCTGGCAGCCGCCTCCTTCTTCCCACTAACAGCAAGTGGCCATATTAAGTTGTGCTACATGAGCCTGACAGTTGGGGAAGGAATGTGTAGTAGTGCTAGCTGATGGCTCGCATTGATAACGGCGAGGGAGGAGCTCGCAGACGGCTCCTGGCTACGCAGCAGGATTGATTCATATAGTCAGCAGATCTCTTTTAAGAAATGTTGAAAACTTCCTAATTTTCAACTGACATTTTTAAAGAATGAAAAGAAATCTCAGAACCTTTCTCTCTCTCTCTCTCTATCTCTCTGTCTCTCTTTCTCTCTTTTTCACTCTCACACTTTCATTGAAGCAGCAGCAGAGCGAGATGAAAGCGTCATTGTGAAAACTGAGACAAGTAGCTGTCTGGTTATAATTAAGCATGTGATATTTACTAGTTCCCCTCCAGTGGTGGGGAACTGCACGTGGCTGATAAGAGCAGTTCATTCACAGCCCGCTGTTCTCTGATGTTCCTCGCAGTCAGCGAGAGGCGCCTTTCCGCATAAGCTCATCTCCACAAAGCCCAGACGTTGAATTTGTTTGTTTACTCATTAATGCACACTTAGGTTTGCTTACTTATTTATTTATTTGTTTCTATATTAGCACACATGCTTGTGTCCTCCCAGCTGCTCATTAGCTGGATTTTTAACTATTGTTTTGAGTTGGATGTTTTCTGTCTTCTCATCGACGTGAGCGTTGGGGCTGCTGTGATGATGGCTGGGATTGTGACGTGTCACGTACAGATGGAAAAGGCTGAGCAGGACGGTCATCAAACCTCTGACACTGCAACTCCGGTCACCTGAATTTCACATCCCATTATGTCTGTCATGCCTGTAAGGTTAAAGTCATAATGCATGGGCTTAAGACATACAGTGTCTTGTGGAAATAGTCAAACCCTTTTACTCTGATTCTACTAAATAAAGTCCAACATAACAACTGCCTTCAGATATAAGTGCAGCGACTCTGTGTAGGCCTCAGCGGTTTCTTGGAGAACAGCAATGAACAAACAGAATCATTAAAAGAAAATGATCAGGTACAGGGATACAATCGTGGAGAGGCTTAAAGCTGGCGTAAGTCATAAAAGCTTTATAAATCTCATGAAGCACTATTATCCACTATCTAAAAATGGAACCAGTATGGGGTAACTGCAAAACCTACAACACATGGGCCTCCACCTAAACTGACATATCGGGCAAGGGGAGCATTAATCATAAGAGCAGCCTAGAGGGAGAGAAGCTAACTCTAAGCAGCCAAGGGGCAGCTTAAGATCCAAAGCTTAGGTGGGAAAATCTGTTGACAGAACCATTATTAGTTGTGGTTTCTTCAAACCTGGCCTTCGTGGACGAATTGGCACGAAGAAGGCCATAATGAGAGACTGTGTTTCCAGCTTTTTGCAGCCCACATGGGTGAAAGTGATGCTCAGTTCAGATGAGACAATAATTGAACCTTTCCACTTACATGAAAAACCTGCGTGGAGGAACAGTCCACATGGTCATGAGCCTTAAATTCCTTCACTGAAAGATGGTGGTGGCAGTGCCATTGATTGAGTGAGTGCGTTTTCCCTCAGCAGGGACCGGGAAGCTGGTCAGACTTTATAAGACGATGGACTCGGCTAAGGTCAGGGCGATCCTTGAAGAAAACCTGATGGAAAAAGACTTTCAGTGGTGAAGGCTTACCTTCCAGCGGGACGAACGACACCCCGATAGCTCCAACAGCTAAAGTGTGTTAGAATGAGCCGCTCAAACTTGGACGTTAACCTGCTTGATCACTTAAAATATGACTTGAAAATTGATTTTCACTTTTATTTTAGGCTTAAAATAGAAAAATAGCCCTAAAAGCTCCTAATACACGGTAGAAAAAGGTGATTCCACAAAGTGTTGACGGAGGGATGCTGAATAGAGCCCATGCTATTCACATATTGTATAAAATCCCTGGAAAGTTTAGGGGTTAGGTATTTTGTTGGCAGTGACTTACCTAGGTAGGAGGTACTTACCTAAGTACGTCACTATCCAGTCTTACTTAGGAGTTTGACATCATAGAACATAAATAAAATTAAGAAAATTAAAGTTTAAAACTTTGTTGCAAATCCTTGACTTGTAGGAACTGCTACAGTTCTGCAAGCTCCTTCCATCTCTCAACATCACCATTCTCTGTTTTCTATGATTTTGCCAGTTTTCTACCGCAGCCTGTTTCTGATGTTTTGTTTTGGGAGGCATTTTTTTTTCTTCAATTTCCCTAGACGGACCAGTGAAATCAGCTCAGATTGTTTGTAGTGATTTTGGTAAGTTGCATTTGTAGCGCTGGTTGCTTTGGTCACTTAAAAACTGGCCAACCCCAACCAAAAGTTGATATTTTCTTCATATTTTTTCTGATCTAGATGTTTTTTTTTATTCTGATATGCCTTAAATTGAAAAAAAAAATCAAAGCAACAAACAAAAAGTAACTTTGATTCTTGTACTTTTCTCTTTTACAGCAAACATCTTGAAGGTAGATAACTCATTGCAAGAACTTTTCAAAATCTCCTAAAAAAAATGTACACATCTTCACATGGAGTCTCAGCATAGGTCTCAGTAAACCAGTATACCATAAGAAGAAAATAAACAAATATTTTTGTTATTTAGCGGCTAAATGTGACTAAAATAGCCCTGCATTCGCTTTCTGGTCAGATCACACTGCATTATTGTTTGGTGTCTATGCTTCTTCTTCTTCTTCTTCTTCTTCTACCATTGACCCAATTTAAAAATCTGTAATTTGAACCCCACAGAAACCAGCACCTGCAGGAGATGTCAGAGTGATTCAGGTAGAGCTATACCCTCCCTTCTGGGCTGCAGCATCATTTATTTGGCTTTTGTGAAACCACACACACGCATCGCCGGGGAGGCGGGAATCTGCCCACTTCCCTTCATCTCCACTTGTTCTCGGTCTTTTCATTCATCATCTCCTGCTCCTCTTCCCCCCGCCCACTGTCTGGTCTCAGATCTGGTGCACCACCAGAGGCTGTGGAGGGGATACTGTCAAAATTAGTCGGATTTGAAAACAACTCTTTTTTTTTCTTTTTTTTTTTTTTCAGTTCAGATTCTCAAAAAGCAGGACAGAAAACTGTCGGGGAAAAACAAATTCCCAAAATAGCCTGTCTGTTGCAGGAGCTTTAGATTTGAAATATTCTGACTGTGAACTAGGTTTGGCTAAGTATGATTTCTGACAGAGCTGTCTCACTGCAGGGCATGTTTAGGTTGTTCCGCCTCCGAGCTGTTGAGACTAAAGCCCATTTGATATGCTTCTCTCTTAAAAGAAGTTGGCTTTTACAGAGAGGGGGCAGGAAGGGGGATATCATCGACTACATAAATGGCTTCCATTACACTTCAGCAAAAAGCATGACTTTATTATTTTTTTTAATTTATAATTCAAAGGATTTATTTTACCCGCCCCCACCCCCCCCCTCCATATTCTTCCTCTGCATAATATCTTGTGCCCACACAGTACAGGCCTACCTGCCGGTGTTTTACGGAGTTTTGCTTTTTAATATCTATCATGAATCGCTGCTTTATCATCCCACGCATTGTCTCAGAAGGCTTCTTTGTCTAGTGCTGCTTTGTTTCTCGCTCAGAAAATGTAATTTTTCCATTTAGTAATTCCTTCATTTATGTATTTGCAAAAAAGAACCTATGACAAAGCTGATGTAGACTTGAATTCATAATGTTAATTTTTTTTTTTCATTCAACCTTCGGAGTTGTGCTTCAAATTCGCCAGTGCCTGCTTTACAGACAGTGGGTCCCATTCAGCTTTAAAACATTCTGAATAGCTGAACTCATACTGTTGATGTCTTATGACTTGTGGCTCAAACAGTCTTTTCTTTTATCTTAGATTCATTTAACTTAGTTGAAGTATTTAGTTAGTGTTTTTAGTTTTAAGTGTATCATTCTGGTAAATGCTGTATTTTGAGGGATGCATACTGTAACGTATGTTATCATATTCATGATTTTATCATGTTCCTATTGGCTGTATATAGGCAAAAATAGTAGTTTGGTATTTATACAAAAAATGTAAACAAAAAAGTAATAAATAATGTAATTTAAAAAAAAAACTACTGACACTGGAATTACATAATCACTACAGCTATGCTAGAGCTTTCTAGGATATTTGTTTCAATTTTAATACATAATCATACAATGCAAAATGGAGAACAAGCACCTGCTAAATACAGGGTGGGCCATAAGTTTCCATACATAGAAAAAAATAAACATTTTACTGTATATTGGACGCCCGTTTTTATTTTTGTGGGACTCTGAAATCGCTGCACGCCTTGGACCACTCCGTGGTTGATCTGCAACATTTCCAGTTTTCTGAAACTTGCAAATAAGTTTTGCCACAGTGTCGTGTGTGTGTGATGCTCGTTCCATGTTTTCTGTTAAAGTTTCGTGCAACCATGCGACCGCTTCCCCGATCCAGCCGTCAGTATGATTTCAATTCTTCGCTCTTTTGGCAAACACATCTTCTTGGGTATCTGAAATATGAAAGAAACATACATTTTACATTCTTCTATGTATAGAAACTTGTGGCCCACCCTGTCTAATAGTAGTTTCCAAATGTGCAGATTATTACACCTTTTTTTGACATTTTGCTCTTTAAACATATAGCATCCCTATACTAGCTGGCTAATTAGTCAGGCTGTCATCTCAGGTAGAGCTTGCACCAATTGTTGCTTGGATAAATGTAGCTACATAACAGTCACACCTTTCACACATCATGTAAGCTCCATATATTCACCAATGCTGCAAAATCGAATTATCTCACTAACAACATTCCTTCATGTCAGCCTAGTCCATGCAAACGTTTCACTTACACCAGCGTGTTTGATGCTGGAAGCTGAAAGTCATACCGATGCCATGGCCTACTTTCTGATTAATTCTGCTAATAATTAAACGACAACACGGGCGCTCCCGTAAAGCATTCAAGTTTAATTTCTAAAGGGTAATTTAATAATATTAAAATGAGACAGTCGATGGAACGGCGAAACCAATATGCCTGGTCCTGCACAGTTAAACGCGTCAAGTTCCAAGTCGGACTTGGGCAACCCACATTCGAAATTTCAAAATGGAGCGCAAAAACACTTGCACATGACAGAATTTAGTGCTTTTCAAAATTAATTTGCTCAAGTGTGACGGCAACTGAACCTCAGGCAGCAATTCCAGTTTCCGCATTGCCCTAAAGAATAGTGGTGGTTTGTTCTGTTTTACTTTCAACGCCACGTCACCCTTCCTCTCCCCCCCCCCCCCCCCCCCCCCCCCCCCCCTGCC